TTTGTGCATGTGCCAGAAAAAGGATGCCCCCCCTGCCCCACCCACAGCCGACCAGGCAGCACGTACCGCGGCAGCGCGCTGTCCGCCTCGATGAAGATCAGACGCTCATACACCTTGTTCAGGCGCTCGGTCTCCTCCATGGTCGGCTCGTCGATGGCCAGCAGGCGATCACGCTCGGCCAGCAGGCGCGTGCGCATCTCGTCACTGTTGATGACGGTCTGCAGGGCCGACACATCGTTGGCCGGGGCCTCCTGCTGCACGATGTGAATGTCGATGTGCCGCGGCACCCGGAACTGCCCATCCCGCGCCACAATGTGATTCAGCAGCGTCGACTTGCCGGTGCCATTGTACCCGACCAGGCCGTACCGCCGGCCGTGGCTCAGGTTCAGGTTCGAGTCCTTGAACAGCGTCTTGCCGCCCATATGAATGGAGAAGTTGTGCACATTGATGTTGTCATCGGTCGGCATGCTGACATCGTCATACTCATCCTCGCCGAGGAGGTCCTCCTGCTTGCGCTCCCCTCCCGCCACCACGGGGGGCCCATCCTGTACCGGAGGAGCCCGATCGCGCCGCGGAAGAAGGGCGCACACACACACACACACACACACACACACACACGGGCCCGGCCCAGACATACGGCCTCCCCCTGCCCTCGCCGGCCGCGCGCTGGCTCGCCCGCCCGCCCCGCGGGGCTGCGCGCCCGTCTCCTTCCCCCCCGGCGGAGGCCGTTTTTCACGCCGCACGTCGCTCCCCCCCCCCCGTCGCACCCACCCGCGCCTGCCGCCGAGCCGGACACGCCCGGGTCGCACCTTTTCCCCCACGCGCCCCCCGCCCCCCATAAACAACAGCGGCCCACCTGGGTAGAGGCGTGCACGCTTGCGCCCATGCGCCCCGCCCGGCCCAGAGGAGGGGGGTGCAGGGGCGGCGGTCGGGGAGGGGGCCGGGAGAAGCCCGCACGCAATCAGGCCATCCTCGGAATAATCCCCCCCCCCCCCCTGCACTCCACACGGTGCAGCCCAAACCGGAGCCCCCGCGACGGACGCACCAACCGCCGGGCGGGTTGACCCCAGCCCGGATTCCCCCCGCCGCGCGCCAGCGGCCGCCCTGGGTTCTCCGCGTCCCGGGCCGGCGCCCATCCGGCCGCCCGGGAGGGGTCTCGACTATATTCTCCCCTGGGGCCCCCCCGTCCCGTCAGACTCCAACCCTCGGCTCAGCGGCATATGGCCTGGCTCTGGCCGGTCCCCCCCCCCCGCCCGGCTGCCCGGCCAGGCCAGGGTGGATGGCGGTGGAGGGACCCCCGAGGCGGCGCCATGCGGGTCGAAACGTGCAGCCACTGTGTTTGCGGAGCCTCGGCCGCGGGGCCCTCTTAAATGCGTCACATGCCCGTGCCCAGATCACCCGGGGCGGCGAGTTAAGCGCCCGCATAAGCTCCGGGCGAGGGCGCGTCCAGTTTATAGACGCCCCATTGGTCCCCTGCCACTCGCAGGCGTATCTGCCCCCTCCCTCCCGCACCCTGCCCACCTGGCGGGTGCAAGGCCCGGTGCCCGTCCCCCCTCGAGGCCCGGCTATCCTCCGGCCTGGGTAGGGGGGAGCAAGAAAAAATAAAGCAAACACCAACCACAAACGCCAGGAAACAGACGAGCAGACAAGCGGACAAGCAGACAAGCGGACAAGCGGACAAGCAGATAAGCAAACAACATGACAAGCAGACAGGCAGACA